CATCATGATGACAATTATATATTTCAACCGTACCACTACGTCTCACCTTTGCCTTGCGTGTGTTCCCGACTTCTGCTAATCCAACAAACCACGTAGCATGATCAAATCTCCGCCTTAATTTCTTTCTTTTTCCACCACTTTGCTTCTCCATTGAATCATTATTGTCATCACGCAATAATTGTAATATCCTCTTTTCCTCTTCAATTCCAACATTTTCATACGGCTCCCGTTGTAGAAATATTCCTTCCGAGGTAGCCAAATGATACCTCGGTCGTACGTACATCGCCAGATCGGTCACAAATTTTGATCCAACAATGTTTGGTTGGATCTCATGTGAGGATAGACGTTGTATGTCCTTTGGCCATTCGTACGTCAGGAGAATGTCAACGTCTGTGGGGAGAGCGGGTGCAGGGGAAGTCAGCATACCGCTGATAAAGGCAATCGTTACGTTGCTAGCTGTCGTCACTATACCGTGGTCACCTTTGTGTTGAATATGGAACAAGATGAGGACGGAATTGGAAGTAGAATCAAAGAGAATTGCACAATTCTTATCTTGACTATATTAAGAACTTGAATTTCTACCTAAATAAAATAAATTTTCACAAACTCGACCATGGTTTTCGTCAATTCGTTTTCTGATTGCAGCTGGTAGGATATATTTTCCGTGCATGAAATACGTCGTTATTGGAACTATATACACATGGTCAATGTAAAAAAAAAAAGTTAATCATAGGAAACCTTACTCAGATGCAAACGTGCGACTAATCAAGACCTCAACATACTGTGAATGCTTCCGGACAAAACAGCATTAACCAAGTTTTCGTCAGCATCCCCAAACAAGTCGCCGACACATAACAACATGTCAAAAGGACCGTATTTTGTATTAATCTTTGTTATTCCCGCGAACAATTCTTTAATTCTACCGTTCGCTGAGCCTGCGGCTAAGCTATTGATATTAACAAGTCTCTGAATTAGAGCTGTGAAGGAATACCATTATGAGTAGACACGTCGCACTGACATACACTTTGATTTGGTCTCGATCCATTGTTGCCAAAAAAAACCAAAAACCCAAGTCTTGTCTGTCAATCGCTTACGACATCGAAAATGGCACGTGTCAAAAGTTCCCATTAAAAGACTACCTAATTTATTCGTATTCGACACTTTGTTTGTTATTATTATTATTATGTCCCAAGAGAGTCCTACATATACCATGTCGTCTAATGAGGAAGCGCGTACGTCTGTCAAAGGTAACTTATCCAAAGCGTAAATCTTTATTCAGACCTAATTAATAACTTTGAATGTTTTTAAAAGGACGAGGCAATAACGATATTGTCATTGGCGGGGACGCGGTCGACAACTCAGGTCAGTGACAACCCTTTTTCATACATTATATAGTTTTACGAGTGATTAATTGGTTTGTTTTCAACTGTTGTAGACAGAACGTCTGCGACCACTGCAGAGGGAACCGGGAATGGTAGTTGATTAATTCGAATATTGAACCCTTTGCATTGCGTTAGTCGTGCTATTCCTTCTATATTATGTGCCCATTCATTCAGCGTCCAAACTTTCTTCCCCTTTGATTTGATATTCTTTAGCCGCAAAAGTAAAGATATATAACGGTCCACCACTTATTCCCTCATCATCATACCTTTCAATGTGCTCATTGGAGTCACAGAAACTGTCAAAATCCGCCCCAAAATTAATAATTCTTGATCTTAATGGTACACTGCTCCTTCGAGTCAAGCCTAGAAGTATAAGACCGCGCCCATATTTGATCGAATTTTTAGATTATCTATTTTCTTCCACTTTTGAGGTCATGGTGTGGTCCTCCGCCATGCCGAAAAATGTGAATTTGATGGTAGAAACCGTGTTTCCACCTCACTATATGGACAGACTGAAAGCGGTTTGGAATCGAGACAGCTTTGGACTGACACCAAAACAATATGGGATCAATTATTTAACCGTGAAGGATTTTGAGCTCGTTTGGAAGAAATTAAATGGCGATTCAGACGATGAGGGGCGGCACTTTAATACTGGAGCAGCGGCAAAAAAGACAAAGTGGGATCAAACGAACACAATCATTATTGATGATTCAACAGAAAAGACTCAACTACAACCACACAACGCTATACATTTAACTAAATTCGATAGCGACAGATTCATCAAGGGCATTGACTGTGACTTAATAAACGTAATACCGTATTTAGATAGAATAAGGAACGAAACAAATGTCAGTTACTTTATCAAGAACAATCCTTATGATCCTCTCACAGCAGTAAAACCAGATCTAAGTAGCATAAATATCGCGAAAACGGTTGTGGATGCGAGAAATGTAGATCAGCTGTCGGTCGCGAATAGTGGCAAGATAAATGAAAAGGCTTCGCGGAAAGTTCCATGATGAGAGATTGAGATCTAATTTGTGGTACGTGAATGTCATTATAGATATTGACAGGAATACACAACAATTCGAGTATTAGACGTATACTTACGAGAAGTGCATGGCCACCTCCTGGTACCAATGACATTGAACTGTTTGTCGTATCTATAAGACCACCTTTAGCCAACTGTATAAATTGCTGTCAGCAACCAATAGCGCATGTTCGTATGAACAAACAGTCGAAGTAAAAATGAATAATTTACCGTTACATAAATTTCTGATGCAACAGTGACAATTAACCTGCAAAATGAGGCAAAAGTGAGATACACAAGAGCCAAACAAAACGCGCTCGATAACGCAATATTTTAGATAACATACTGTTTGGCAGTTCTCGGATTAGATAGACAAAACCAACAGGGGGCTACGAATGAAATACTCATCAGTAAAAGACAATCAATCGGAAGATCAATAAAAATTCACTTGATTTAGAAAGACGCGTACAATCTCTTTTGGCGATTTTCTTGTTTTTACAGTCAGAAATATAGTGCCCTTTCTCTCCGCATATTTTACAAATGTATTCAGGACCGGGAACTTTAATTGACTTGTTTTCTGGGCATTCTTGTATCCAATGACCTGGAGTTTTGCATATATTACATACATAACCCTCTGGCGGGACTAGCGTGGAATGAAAAAAAGTTTGATAAGCTTTGCCACATAAAAATTTGAATTTTAAAACATGACAGTAAAAGACACCGACTTTTCTTTCTTCGCTTGGTATCATTCTCCTTCGCCTGCGTCTCATTACTCCACATATAATTTCCTGGTTCACCATCCTAACAAAGATACTAGAATAAGTACGTGTAGTAATGTTGGATATATATTGCACGCGTGCATATTAACACGTTACCTCCCGGCCACTAGTATCTCTCTTTTTTCCAGCCACAGTTGTCTCGGTTGTCTCGGATTCTTTTGCAAGATACGGACACTCTGTTGTGTTTGATGGATGTTGTAATATTTTTGCAGATGGATCCAACCGCGACAGTGGAACTAAATGGAAGCCATAGTACCACTTGATACAATCCAAGAATTAAGTCATCATGATGACAATTATATATTTCAACCGTACCACTACGTCTCACCTTTGCCTTGCGTGTGTTCCCGACTTCTGCT